CAACAGATTCAAGAAGTCTTTCAGAAGGAAACTGGACATTACCAAGGTCTCAGAACTACTTCAACGTTATTCACCAACATTACTTTTACGTTTGATAAATATGCTCAGGTTCCTACCTCTAAGCATCGGTTATTCACTGCTACTTGATACGGAAGTCCATTCAGCGAAAGTCATTATTCCGCCCACAACCATTTGAACCATTAGAGGTGGCTTAGGCGATCAAGACAATGATCTTAACGACCAATTCACTTCCCGTCACTCTAAGCGATTGACTTCATAATGTATACATTCACTGAGAAAAGTAATAATTCAGAAACATATCACATTGTATTTGTAAATTACAAGATGAAGTTCATGAATTCCAAGTTCCCGAAGACGAAGCGCCTCACTACTTTCATGATTACAAAAGAAAACCAACTTACATATTTTTCCTGAATTAATCCATCCTTGAAGAAAACGAAGTATGGTGTCGTACCGTCCTCACGGAAGTTCATCAAAACTACCATGGCTTCAGGATTAGTTGATGGCCCCGTGAAACATTCATATTGGTCAAAGTTTTCAAAGACCTCTTTCATGTACTTGTTGACCTGACTCTTAAGTAAGGGTATCTTGTCTGGATCAGTCTTTTGTAAACGTTGTGTTATAGCTTTTAAATACGACTAGAACAATGTCAATTTAACTGGATAACTTACATAAAGTTGCGCTTTGTATGATTTTAGGTCGTAAGAAACACTAATGAAACCATTAGCGTGAACTAAATCAATGACCCTTTTACTCGTATCATCCACATTTTCATCGTCTCCACCCTCACCAGATGGGTTGGCGCCAATAAGTCTCCCATCCACCTTACTTGAAACTGTCGTAAACCTCGATTCGACTTCATAAAAGAAATCCGCAACAACACGAGGACAGTGAGAGTCTGTGAACATTTCATCCTCTGAAGAGAATATTAAAGATCTTTGGTCATACCAGTAATCATGTCCTTATACACGATCATGGTGGAAAACAAACAAGGCGCACTGAATTGTAACGCTAATGATGTGAAACAAGTTTATTGTAGGACGTTACGATTGACTCAATTTTCGATGGTGTCGAATTTTGTGTTTTGTCCAGCAGAGATGAGAACAGAAGTTTACTTTACTTTGACGTCCGGTACAAATTAATGTTTTTAAATATCGGAAAGTTTGGGTCATAGTTTTGATTCACGTGCAGCGGTAAATAAATCCCCAAAATCAATAGCTCTATAAGTCTTTGACATTCGATGCTTACCGTAGTAGTTTTGCTGGAATCACTTAGCTGAAACGCTCTGTCACGAATCCACACCAGATCACGAGTGGGTACATCGTGCTACGCATCCCTTTCAACTACCAGCCAGCTTAAACCAAACGTTCATTTGACCTACCGATCGCCTTCCAAATATATCTTCGAACTCCTTCTGATCTGATCGAATTGGCGTACTTCAGTTATAAAAGTGTTACTGGTTAAGGCGTCTTCAATCTACGAATACTTGTGGCATTGTTAAGGAATCTATGAAATGCCTAAACACTTGTATTCGTATATAAACCAAGGGACTAAAAGAAGAATAAATATCCCAGCACTATAAGGAGACAGTAATACTTCATTATCAGTGGACGCCGACTGTGGTAAAGCTCAGGCATTCTCAAACTACCTTAGCAATGTAATGTCGTAGAAACATCCTACCCGTCAGTCCATACAAATCCACCCACACAAACACTGGACAACGTGACCATTAAAGAACTCGATGTCTTTAGTCTGCTAAATAAGCTTGATATAGACAAATCCACGATATACGGTGAAATGCATCCTAGGTTACTAAAGGAACAAGCTAACTTCGTTGCAAACCCTTCAAATATATGTTCTAATCTATCCGTAACCCAAAGTCTACTACTAGAGTGGTCGCTAAGATTTTAGAAAAGATTATTCGGGAGGAACTATTTAACCATCCCGATGAAAACCGGATCCTTTCAAAAAAGTAGCATTGTTTTAGAATAAGGTATTCCTGTCTCACCAACTTATTAGTGGCTCGTGAAAGTCGGTTACATACAAACGCAGTTTACATTGACTCCAGCAATACTTTTGACAAAGTTCTTCACGAGCGACTGTTATATAAGTTAAGAAATGTTGAGGTCGGAATCACTCTAATAATGTCGATAAAATATTCCCTGGTCTTGCTATACGCCGATGTCAAGATATAGAGAGCGACAAGAAGTAAAGCTGATAGTTTAGAACTCCAGAATAACCTGGAGAAATTATCTGGATGGTCTCAAATATGGCAGTTGCAGATAAATACTTCCAAGTGCATTGTGGTGCATATTGGTCACCGAAGTGCAGATACACACATGATGAATGAAATTGAGCTACCTGTTGTCCAGGCACACAATGACTTAGGAGTCATCGTTAGCCAAGACTTAAAGACTACTGCACACTACCGTGCAATAGCCGTCAAAGGCTTTAGAACTTTATGGTCAATATGTAGGGCTTCTAGTCGTGTCGACGCTAAAACGTTTTTGACTTTGTATACAGTATTCGTACGCCATAAGCTTGAGTACTGCATACAAGCGGCTAGCCCCTGCTCAAAAAAGACAGTGAACATTTGGAAAAGGTTCAGAGAACAGCAACTAAGCTGATTCCTGGAGTAGAGAAGCTCCCGTATGATCCCCGACTGGCCAAACTAAACCTATTCCCGTTGTCATATTGAAGAACTAGAGGAGACTTGATTACAGTTTTTAAATTGCTTAGTGATAACTTCGCACCTGATATGCCCTCATTTTTTTGTCTTCCAAAACAGAGAATTTACGAGGACACTCCAAAAATGTTCACGAGCCCAGGACAAATTACTTGTCAGTTGACTATCGACTTTCCCACCGAATCATCAACGAGTGGAATACATTATCTCAGCACGTGGTTGAGGCTCGATCCGTCGACTCTTTCAAAAGAAAGTTGGATTAACTGAGAGACCACCATTGCCAGGACTAACACAGGCCATCAAGCCTCCTATCCTTTCCAAATTGAAACTGAAGTATAAAATCTAGTGAACTCGTCTACTGTTATGCTTGAGATGATCAGACTAAAGCAGCTTGACATATTTGGTTTTATCACTTGTGTTGACAAGACAATTAATCATGCTGCGGAAATACGTGTTGGTAATACCTAGTGCCAGGGAGTTGAAGTGTTGCGGACGTTCTCATTATACTGGTAGTCGAATGAGTGACCTGGGCACTTATATGACGTCGGAAGATCGTTTTTACAATCACATTGAGGCGAAGAGCTAATCTGCGTGATGTCACCTATTAAAAGATAGGTTGGTGGTGGTTGGCTGAGATGATCTAAAAGACTTCCCAGGAGTCTTTCAGTCAGTCAGTAACAATGTGGAACTTCGAACGTACGTGCATCACTTCGAGTTGCCATACCGCATTAGCACAGAGATTCAGTTATCGATTCAAATCCCGTAGTGGTAGAGTTAGTCAAATTATAAGTAGTGATAGGGAACATTAAGGTTTGATGATGTTATTTAAGGAGTACAATCCAGTGGAATAGATGTAGAAAGAAAATAAAGGACATGAAGAATTCAGAAGATTAGAGTTTGAGAGAACACAAAGAGTGGATTTACCTGCGCCATTGCAAACGATTTTCAGCCATGTCATTCAAGATCTCTAACCATCGGTTGTTATCGTCTCGCGGACCCCAACCAGGTAGTCCATACCTACTAACATGACTCAGTCCACTTGTCAGTGACTTCATGGATTTGTGCCATATCTTGGTCTGGCCGCCCCTAGCTTTTTTCCAACTTACTCCTACACCATAAAACATCGCAAGTCGGGCATACGTAACACATGTCCCAGCCATCTCAACTGATTAAGTTACACTACTTCACCAATTGATTTGCCATCCTTACCTAGTACCTGTTTACTAACAACTGTATTACTTACTCGGTGGTCCCAGGATATACGAACAATGTTTCGAAGACATCTATGATCAAATACTAGTAACCTACGAATATCCTCTACTCTCACCGGCCATGTTTCACTGCCATAAGGTAGGACAGAAAGAACCGCTGCGCAGTAAATCCGTCCTTTGGTTGATAGACGGATATCTCGCCTACGCCACAAATGACGCAATTTGGCAAAAGCTGGTCGAGCCTTCTGTATTCGTGCTGAGATTTCGTCACACACTAGACCACAAAGGCTGATGAGACTTCCGAGATAAATAAAGCGGTCGACACGCTCAACTACTTCACTCCTTATCACTAGTTCTCGTGTCGGTGCAACCCAATCCTGAAGCAACATTTTGCATTTCGAGGGAGAGAATCATATGCCTGCATTGTTGCTTAGAGTGATCAGTAGACTCTGCATTTTGTCAGCGTCTTCACCAAATAGAACTATGTCATCGGAATACTCCAAGTCAACAAGTGAATCTTTCGGTAGAAGTTCAAACCCTGGAGAGTCAGATGTGGAAAGTGTTATCTCCAAAAGCACGTCAACGACAAAGTTAAACAAGAATGGAGAGAGTGGACAGCCCTGACGAACACCACTCGAGGTAATCAGTTCGGATGACAGTTCACCATAAGCTCTCACTCGAATAGTTGTGTTCGATTAGTGAACCTTCATAAGGTTAATGTACTTCTTTGGTACTCCTTTCAGTGACAAATACTGCCATAGGACCTCACGACCAACAGATTCAAGAAGTCTTTCAGAAGGAAACTGGACATTACCAAGGTCTCAGAACTACTTCAACGTTATTCACCAACATTACTTTTACGTTTGATAAATATGCTCAGGTTCCTACCTCTAAGCATCGGTTATTCACTGCTACTTGATACGGAAGTCCATTCAGCGAAAGTCATTATTCCGCCCACAACCATTTGAACCATTAGAGGTGGCTTAGGCGATCAAGACAATGATCTTAACGACCAATTCACTTCCCGTCACTCTAAGCGATTGACTTCATAATGTATACATTCACTGAGAAAAGTAATAATTCAGAAACATATCACATTGTATTTGTAAATTACAAGATGAAGTTCATGAATTCCAAGTTCCCGAAGACGAAGCGCCTCACTACTTTCATGATTACAAAAGAAAACCAACTTACATATTTTTCCTGAATTAATCCATCCTTGAAGAAAACGAAGTATGGTGTCATACCGTCCTCACGGAAGTTCATCAAAACTACCATGGCTTCAGGATTAGTTGATGGCCCCGTGAAACATTCATATTGGTCAAAGTTTTCAAAGACCTCTTTCATGTACTTGTTGACCTGACTCTTAAGTAAGGGTATCTTGTCTGGATCAGTCTTTTGTAAACGTTGTGTTATAGCTTTTAAATACGACTAGAACAATGTCAATTTAACTGGATAACTTACATAAAGTTGCGCTTTGTATGATTTTAGGTCGTAAGAAACACTAATGAAACCATTAGCGTGAACTAAATCAATGACCCTTTTACTCGTATCATCCACATTTTCATCGTCTCCACCCTCACCAGATGGGTTGGCGCCAATAAGTCTCCCATCCACCTTACTTGAAACTGTCGTAAACCTCGATTCGACTTCATAAAAGAAATCCGCAACAACACGAGGACAGTGAGAGTCTGTGAACATTTCATCCTCTGAAGAGAATATTAAAGATCTTTGGTCATACCAGTAATCATGTCCTTATACACGATCATGGTGGAAAACAAACAAGGCGCACTGAATTGTAACGCTAATGATGTGAAACAAGTTTATTGTAGGACGTTACGATTGACTCAATTTTCGATGGTGTCGAATTTTGTGTTTTGTCCAGCAGAGATGAGAACAGAAGTTTACTTTACTTTGACGTCCGGTACAAATTAATGTTTTTAAATATCGGAAAGTTTGGGTCATAGTTTTGATTCACGTGCAGCGGTAAATAAATCCCCAAAATCAATAGCTCTATAAGTCTTTGACATTCGATGCTTACCGTAGTAGTTTTGCTGGAATCACTTAGCTGAAACGCTCTGTCACGAATCCACACCAGATCACGAGTGGGTACATCGTGCTACGCATCCCTTTCAACTACCAGCCAGCTTAAACCAAACGTTCATTTGACCTACCGATCGCCTTCCAAATATATCTTCGAACTCCTTCTGATCTGATCGAATTGGCGTACTTCAGTTATAAAAGTGTTACTGGTTAAGGCGTCTTCAATCTACGAATACTTGTGGCATTGTTAAGGAATCTATGAAATGCCTAAACACTTGTATTCGTATATAAACCAAGGGACTAAAAGAAGAATAAATATCCCAGCACTATAAGGAGACAGTAATACTTCATTATCAGTGGACGCCGACTGTGGTAAAGCTCAGGCATTCTCAAACTACCTTAGCAATGTAATGTCGTAGAAACATCCTACCCGTCAGTCCATACAAATCCACCCACACAAACACTGGACAACGTGACCATTAAAGAACTCGATGTCTTTAGTCTGCTAAATAAGCTTGATATAGACAAATCCACGATATACGGTGAAATGCATCCTAGGTTACTAAAGGAACAAGCTAACTTCGTTGCAAACCCTTCAAATATATGTTCTAATCTATCCGTAACCCAAAGTCTACTACTAGAGTGGTCGCTAAGATTTTAGAAAAGATTATTCGGGAGGAACTATTTAACCATCCCGATGAAAACCGGATCCTTTCAAAAAAGTAGCATTGTTTTAGAATAAGGTATTCCTGTCTCACCAACTTATTAGTGGCTCGTGAAAGTCGGTTACATACAAACGCAGTTTACATTGACTCCAGCAATACTTTTGACAAAGTTCTTCACGAGCGACTGTTATATAAGTTAAGAAATGTTGAGGTCGGAATCACTCTAATAATGTCGATAAAATATTCCCTGGTCTTGCTATACGCCGATGTCAAGATATAGAGAGCGACAAGAAGTAAAGCTGATAGTTTAGAACTCCAGAATAACCTGGAGAAATTATCTGGATGGTCTCAAATATGGCAGTTGCAGATAAATACTTCCAAGTGCATTGTGGTGCATATTGGTCACCGAAGTGCAGATACACACATGATGAACGAAATTGAGCTACCTGTTGTCCAGGCACACAATGACTTAGGAGTCATCGTTAGCCAAGACTTAAAGACTACTGCACACTACCGTGCAATAGCCGTCAAAGGCTTTAGAACTTTATGGTCAATATGTAGGGCTTCTAGTCGTGTCGACGCTAAAACGTTTTTGACTTTGTATACAGTATTCGTACGCCATAAGCTTGAGTACTGCATACAAGCGGCTAGCCCCTGCTCAAAAAAGACAGTGAACATTTGGAAAAGGTTCAGAGAACAGCAACTAAGCTGATTCCTGGAGTAGAGAAGCTCCCGTATGATCCCCGACTGGCCAAACTAAACCTATTCCCGTTGTCATATTGAAGAACTAGAGGAGACTTGATTACAGTTTTTAAATTGCTTAGTGATAACTTCGCACCTGATATGCCCTCATTTTTTTGTCTTCCAAAACAGAGAATTTACGAGGACACTCCAAAAATGTTCACGAGCCCAGGACAAATTACTTGTCAGTTGACTATCGACTTTCCCACCGAATCATCAACGAGTGGAATACATTATCTCAGCACGTGGTTGAGGCTCGATCCGTCGACTCTTTCAAAAGAAAGTTGGATTAACTGAGAGACCACCATTGCCAGGACTAACACAGGCCATCAAGCCTCCTATCCTTTCCAAATTGAAACTGAAGTATAAAATCTAGTGAACTCGTCTACTGTTATGCTTGAGATGATCAGACTAAAGCAGCTTGACATATTTGGTTTTATCACTTGTGTTGACAAGACAATTAATCATGCTGCGGAAATACGTGTTGGTAATACCTAGTGCCAGGGAGTTGAAGTGTTGCGGACGTTCTCATTATACTGGTAGTCGAATGAGTGACCTGGGCACTTATATGACGTCGGAAGATCGTTTTTACAATCACATTGAGGCGAAGAGCTAATCTGCGTGATGTCACCTATTAAAAGATAGGTTGGTGGTGGTTGGCTGAGATGATCTAAAAGACTTCCCAGGAGTCTTTCAGTCAGTCAGTAACAATGTGGAACTTCGAACGTACGTGCATCACTTCGAGTTGCCATACCGCATTAGCACAGAGATTCAGTTATCGATTCAAATCCCGTAGTGGTAGAGTTAGTCAAATTATAAGTAGTGATAGGGAACATTAAGGTTTGATGATGTTATTTAAGGAGTACAATCCAGTGGAATAGATGTAGAAAGAAAATAAAGGACATGAAGAATTCAGAAGATTAGAGTTTGAGAGAACACAAAGAGTGGATTTACCTGCGCCATTGCAAACGATTTTCAGCCATGTCATTCAAGATCTCTAACCATCGGTTGTTATCGTCTCGCGGACCCCAACCAGGTAGTCCATACCTACTAACATGACTCAGTCCACTTGTCAGTGACTTCATGGATTTGTGCCATATCTTGGTCTGGCCGCCCCTAGCTTTTTTCCAACTTACTCCTACACCATAAAACATCGCAAGTCGGGCATACGTAACACATGTCCCAGCCATCTCAACTGATTAAGTTACACTACTTCACCAATTGATTTGCCATCCTTACCTAGTACCTGTTTACTAACAACTGTATTACTTACTCGGTGGTCCCAGGATATACGAACAATGTTTCGAAGACATCTATGATCAAATACTAGTAACCTACGAATATCCTCTACTCTCACCGGCCATGTTTCACTGCCATAAGGTAGGACAGAAAGAACCGCTGCGCAGTAAATCCGTCCTTTGGTTGATAGACGGATATCTCGCCTACGCCACAAATGACGCAATTTGGCAAAAGCTGGTCGAGCCTTCTGTATTCGTGCTGAGATTTCGTCACACACTAGACCACAAAGGCTGATGAGACTTCCGAGATAAATAAAGCGGTCGACACGCTCAACTACTTCACTCCTTATCACTAGTTCTCGTGTCGGTGCAACCCAATCCTGAAGCAACATTTTGCATTTCGAGGGAGAGAATCATATGCCTGCATTGTTGCTTAGAGTGATCAGTAGACTCTGCATTTTGTCAGCGTCTTCACCAAATAGAACTATGTCATCGGAATACTCCAAGTCAACAAGTGAATCTTTCGGTAGAAGTTCAAACCCTGGAGAGTCAGATGTGGAAAGTGTTATCTCCAAAAGCACGTCAACGACAAAGTTAAACAAGAATGGAGAGAGTGGACAGCCCTGACGAACACCACTCGAGGTAATCAGTTCGGATGACAGTTCACCATAAGCTCTCACTCGAATAGTTGTGTTCGATTAGTGAACCTTCATAAGGTTAATGTACTTCTTTGGTACTCCTTTCAGTGACAAATACTGCCATAGGACCTCACGACCAACAGATTCAAGAAGTCTTTCAGAAGGAAACTGGACATTACCAAGGTCTCAGAACTACTTCAACGTTATTCACCAACATTACTTTTACGTTTGATAAATATGCTCAGGTTCCTACCTCTAAGCATCGGTTATTCACTGCTACTTGATACGGAAGTCCATTCAGCGAAAGTCATTATTCCGCCCACAACCATTTGAACCATTAGAGGTGGCTTAGGCGATCAAGACAATGATCTTAACGACCAATTCACTTCCCGTCACTCTAAGCGATTGACTTCATAATGTATACATTCACTGAGAAAAGTAATAATTCAGAAACATATCACATTGTATTTGTAAATTACAAGATGAAGTTCATGAATTCCAAGTTCCCGAAGACGAAGCGCCTCACTACTTTCATGATTACAAAAGAAAACCAACTTACATATTTTTCCTGAATTAATCCATCCTTGAAGAAAACGAAGTATGGTGTCGTACCGTCCTCACGGAAGTTCATCAAAACTACCATGGCTTCAGGATTAGTTGATGGCCCCGTGAAACATTCATATTGGTCAAAGTTTTCAAAGACCTCTTTCATGTACTTGTTGACCTGACTCTTAAGTAAGGGTATCTTGTCTGGATCAGTCTTTTGTAAACGTTGTGTTATAGCTTTTAAATACGACTAGAACAATGTCAATTTAACTGGATAACTTACATAAAGTTGCGCTTTGTATGATTTTAGGTCGTAAGAAACACTAATGAAACCATTAGCGTGAACTAAATCAATGACCCTTTTACTCGTATCATCCACATTTTCATCGTCTCCACCCTCACCAGATGGGTTGGCGCCAATAAGTCTCCCATCCACCTTACTTGAAACTGTCGTAAACCTCGATTCGACTTCATAAAAGAAATCCGCAACAACACGAGGACAGTGAGAGTCTGTGAACATTTTATCCTCTGAAGAGAATATTAAAGATCTTTTTTCATTTCAATAATATTAGTTTCATATTTTCGCAATTGTGTGTGATTTACACTTTTACCTGCATTTTCTTGGAATTTTAAGATTATTTTTTTTCACAATGCATGTTAATTAAATATAGTCTATAAAAGTGAATATCGTTTCTTTCCTTCATATATACTTAGTGATCTTTAAAATATTTTTTAATGTGTCATTGCGTCTACGTTACTCACGAGACCCAATTTCAGCATTATTGTTTTATAATTTTTGTCGTGCTTAGTATTTATGCAATGCAGTTTTTTATGTTTATAGTTGTTGTAAAGTAGATTTTCAGACCGCTTGGTGTGATTTATGACTTTGAGGGAACGCTTACGTCAAGTTTGTTCCAGATGTCAGAAGTTACACTGCTGTGCTTACAGTGCATGATTCTGAAAGAGACAGAAACCGAGGAGCAGCAAATCACTTGGATATGGACGATAAATTATACTTCACATTTTGTGGTGGAAGAGATAGA